AACGACGCCTAACGGTAACGATTCAAAAAAACAAAGCAATATACGATACGCGAGTTCACAGGAAAGTTGCTTTTCAATTATTTAAACACGCATTTTGTTAAATAAGAACTAAATTGTGTTTGTGCAAATTGTGTAATATTTAAAACATTCCAAAGTTAAACTTCGATATGTGAATACCCAATTCCTACCTACATTTATTTCATTACTAATAACTATTATTTTACAATTATTGCATTCTTAAAGTGCCTAAATTGCCGAATTTATAAGGAAATATTCAAACATAATAAATGTCGAGAAACAAGCAGAGGATTGGTTCATTAAAATGACAATTCCAGAATCGCAGATTCCTACCATCCTAGAACACAATAGACGCTTTGCAAGTACCATCAACCAATGTTACCTTAAATTCCTAGGCAAGGGGGGCAAGTACTTCGAAACCCCTCAAGCCAACACACCAGGACCATCGGCGGACATACCCCCGCCCATCCGAACCCACTAACTCAAACACCAGTGGAGGTCGACAAGACGGACTCCGCAACAAGCTCCATCGAGGAACCCAAACACGAAGATTCCAGTCACAGGGAAGAACCACAACCAGGTAGCGTCCCCTTCAGGGGGGGACTCGCTCGGTACACTATCAGGAGTTTCCCTCTCTGAAGATTACGATGCTGAAGCAATGCTGGCCGGACTCTACATAGATGAAGAGGAGGAGGACATCAAGGCACGTCAAAATGCCGTTCCCTTCGTTGAATAAATAAAAATCTTTCATCCAAATCAATCTCCACCACAATAAAACTGCCACAGCTCAAATACGTAAGTGGCTGGAATAAAATACCAGTTCTTGACTAGCACCAAGGTAGTTTCGATTTCCCTGTCTGCGCAGACCTCATAGTTCCTTGTCTCTCCATTCTAAGTGTCTATATGGTATGCTATTGATACATTGCCAGCATATTCCACTGCACTTTCTCCTTGTTCTAAGTCCCCAGGGTACACCGGAGATTATTGCCAGCTGCATAACTGTACGGAATCACCCCTGCCACTCCTTTACG